GAAACCAGAGACAAGGAGCTAATTCAATTCAATTCAATTCAATTCAATTCATTAGATTTATAGGCCGCCCAATCCCGGAGGACTCTGGGCGGCTAAGGTTCTCAGGGCAGCCTGCTTGCCACACTGCGCAACCCGGTGGCATCCCAGCCGCATTGGTCGCCCTGGGTTTTTCAACCAAACAGAAAGCAACTTTTCCTTAACTACGATCCTCACGTGGTTTTATATGGAATTCGCCAATTCCTCACCTCGCTGGATTGTTCCACCTGCGGGTGAGATTTGGGGACATCTATTTAGAGGTAGTCCTTGGATAACAACCACTTGTTGAGTGGTTAGGACAGCACTGGACAAGGGCTACTTACAACTGGTCCTTAAGGTTCTGGCCGGCCCAGCACTTGTCACCGAAACGCACACGGTCACAATCTGGGCGCTTGGTTCAAACGTATGACGGTGGTAGCATCCCAAGATCCCTGATCGCCATTTGCAGCTTTCCCAGCTGGCTCCAACAAACAAAGTCAATGGGGAAGCATGCGGAGGAGGTTGCAACTTGCCCGGGTAAGTCTCCCATGCCTGCCAGCAGCCACGCCAAGCCGTTCTGCACTGGCACAGCACCAGCCCCTCACACGCCCTTAGGGGCCCCCCTAAGCCTCACGCATCCTCTTCCCCCACAGCAGGCACTCACCTGCTTGCCAACCTGCAAGAGAGCTGCCTGGGATTTGCAACTTCCTGCTGGCTTCCCCATGACTGGGGTTGTTCAAAGCCAGCAGGGAGTTCTAAGGGGATCCTCCCTTAACACCCTCCCTTCTTTAAATATGATTTAGGGGGGGAGGGGGGGGAAATCCCTAAAATGAAGGGGGAGGGGAAGCACATTCAGACACACAAGGCTCTGTTATTACAGTCACTGTAATAAAAATAATTTTAGGATTACATGGCACCTGTTTCTTCAGCCAGCCTACCTTGTGGGAATGACAGGGAGGGAAAGTGTGTTTCACCAACTCTTAAAAACAGGAGGAGAGAGTGTACACACAGCAGGATTTAGCTGCACAAGGCCAGGCATCAACTTCTAGTCACATTCAGGACGACTGGGGGAAAAACAGTGTGAGGCTTTTAAAAGGCCTATTTGTGAAAGTATAAAATCCAACAGAAACCTGGATGTTTCCAATGCATATTAAGCAAAAGGACCTTGTTTGCTGTTGTGTGGGAGCAAGGAATAAATTGGGCAGCAATATCAGCAAAGCTGGCAGATTACATGAAGTTCACAGGCACCCAGCTGAGCAGTTTTTCCTAGTGGTCAGTGAGCGTTAAGATTCTTGCCAGCTTCGGGATCCCGGTGAAGCCACTGGGGAGAGATGCAGCTCCCAGCTGCCCCTCTGTGCACAAGCTCCTTCCAAGGGGAAAGAAACCTTTCTTCAGGAAGATAATTCCACGATGGTTACCAGGAGCAGGGAGCTGCAGGAGGAGGGAGTGGGAAAGTGCCTGCTGGGACTCTGAACCCAACTGGCTTTTGGGGTGGGGCATGTTTGTCCTATTCTGATTCAGTTAAGCACACCCTGTTTTGTTTTTTTTTAAATCTACTCTTTCAGCCAGGAAACATTGGTTGATAATATCCTCTCTGCATTCTCTAGCATTAACTGCCCTGAAATATCACCAAGTTGAAACTCTATTTGCTTCCTTATCTTTGTCCAATTCCCACCACCACCACGGAAACCTCCTTCTCCTCCTTGAACCAGGAACCGATAAGTCAGAAACCTGGTGATACCAAGAAGCAGTGCACTGATGTATTGCTGGCTGCATTCACACATCAACTCAAGACATAATACAGTGTAGCTTGTTCATTTGAAGCTGAGAGAGCTATATGGACCCAGACACTGTAATCGGCATACTTATAGGACTGTAGAAATGCATAGCTTCAGACCTTCCTATTGGCTCCACCGTTATCTTCTCTGCTTTTAATAAAGCACTGGAAATTCACTGAAAAAGGAAGGATGCAGCATACCCTTCCTCATCCCTGCTCAGCCCGGAAACAAATAAGTTCTTAAAGGGGAGGCGGGGAGCACAGAAATCCACCCTCCCTCCCTCCTGAGCTTTAAGGATGCATTAAGGAGGAAACGTAAAAGTTATAAACCATTAATAAGGAGGTGCAACTACCCTGTGCTGCATCATTTGAATATTTTAACTCGGTCCATTCTGAAATTCCGTGTCACCCGTCAAGCCCATTCCCAAGCATTCAAGGCCACAGCAACCTGCAGCCAATCCTTTGAAGAGGGCCGGTCTGGCACATCTTCATCTGAACTATGACAGCAAGTGCAGAGATCATAGCGCCTGTCTTTCTCGCCTTGCAATCACCGTGGGAGAAGCCCGGCACGGGGGGTTTCATGTCATCAGTTCCAAACCGCAGCCAGGGCTTCTTCCATCTGCACCCTCAGAAAAGATTCCCTTTCTAAATTGCATGACACCGTCCAGAACAAAACGTAGCCAAACACTGTAATAATAATTAAAAAATGACTGTTTGATCATTGCCTGTAGTTAGCGAACTTCCATGATTCAGCATCTTCATGCCCCTTCATAATAATAATAAAAAAAGGCTGAGCCACCCTGAGTTTAAATTCTGTTCCAACCGAAAGGGCATCACTCATCAATCTCTGCATCCTAAAACAGCAAAGACAGCTGGCTGCATGATTAGGATCTCCCCCCTCCCCAAGCATCAGCCATCTCTTTAAAGCCAAGCGACCCTTCCCTAAACACGAAGGCTTTGTTCTAAGCAGGGCTACGGAGCTTCTCACTGTCAAGGAAGATGCCAGCTTCTCCCTGTCAAGGAAGATGCCGTTTCCAGGCCAAACCGATTGCTACCATATACGCTCACTCTTAGTGGCACACATTCACACATCTGGTGCTATTCCGGCACTCAGAACAGAGATAAGCAGTCACCGAAGGGGTCAACTGCCTTTATGGCTGGCACTGCCAATTTTTCAAAGGAACACGAGCCACGTTGAAAAGGGCCTTTTAAAAAAAAAGAAGGGAAAAAAAAAAGATTTCCAGCCTTCCTGCGTTTCCTCAGAGCAGGAGAGACATGTCCGCGCTCGGCTCAGAGGTCCCTCTCTGAAAGGAGGGCTAGGAATGCCCGCTATGAAGGAGATATTTATACCAAGCAGCCGTACAGCTGGGTGACAAAAAGAGCTGAAGCCTGGGACTGAGAAAGTGGTGTGACACTGGCCGAGAGTCCTAGACCGGACTCCTGCCTTTCCAAGAAACAGCTGAGAACATTTACAAAGGGGGCAGGGAGTGGCTTTTCTTGGAAGTGCTGAAACACAGTGAACTGCGGGGTCAAGAGGAAAGAGCACAACATTGGGGGAGGGAAAGGGGGGGGGAGTCATCTGCTGCCCAGCTTCTCAAAGTCCACCCTTTGATGACTGTTCAGGATCCGTCCTGAACATGGAAGCCAAGATTTAAGACATCTCCACGGCAAAAATCAAGCCAGGCGCTTATTTATTATATCCAGACTGTCTCTCTCACATGACTGGACATTCAGCAGACCAAATGGAACAAAGCTGTAAATCTCTTCCCAAATCAAGGAACACCCCACCCACTCCCCCTCTCCACCCTAAATTTACTTTTTCGGAAGTTGGGGAGAAAGGAGACACAGAGGGAGAAGAAGCCTGCAGGCATTCCCGGGCCTTTCTGGAGGCCTGCAGGGAGCAGCTTCCTTATCCTCCCTTTCTAATTTCCAGCCACCGAAGCCGTCCTCTCGCCGGGTGCTCAGGGTGAAACTCCCCACACGGCTTTGCCCTTGCAGTAGCACTGCAGGGTATCCGGGCCATGGCAGTAATCAGGGCAGTTGCGGGGAGAGCCAATCCCAGACCTCTCTGCCCAGAGACACCCTGCGGGAGTCAATATTGCCAGGACGCATGGCGTTGAATCCGCCGTCCTTTTCAACCCGGGCTGGAACTCGTACAAGGGTTAAGATTAAAGAGTTCCAGCGTGTCAGCTGTAAACGGGCTCAAGGCCAAGCAGCTGCAGCAAGCGGGACAATCTGTACCTGGGCTTGCTGCCTGTCCTCTCCACCTGCCTTTGTGATTCCTCCCCACTCCCTAATCAGAAAGGAAGCTTGGCAGCACAGAAGACGACTTCAAAACCCTTTGCGCCAGCGATCCCGCAGGATGGCAAAGCCACCAGGCAGGCCAATCTATAGAGACCAGCAACCCCACCTCATCTAAAAGCAAGTTCCAGGAAGCAGCAGGTTTCCCCCCCCCCAAGAAGCTGGCATTCTGCACATGCTCAGAAACGTTCCATTTTTAGATCAGCACTTCATTCTGAAAGCTCTAGAAACCAAATCCCCGTGTCCCAAGTAACTTGGACAGCTATTAACCAATGAGGGGCTGTTGCACAGTGGCCCAAAGTTTGCAAATATGTGGCGGGACGTTGGGGGGGGGGAACGGTCGGTGCTGAACCGCCTGGGTTTCTAACCCTGCCTTTCCAGAGCTGCTTTTCTGCACAACACAACAGGTTTGCAAGCTGGCACTCAAAGCTGCTTTCTGATGAAACAATGCCAGGATTTCCACAGTGCACCTGCGGGTTTAAAAAAAAAAAAAAAAACCACCCTCAAAACATCAGACCCTCCCTGCCCCCTTTTTTTAAAATATAGAATTTACCAGAATTCCTACAGGGGTTTCCTTTCTACCCTGCCAAAAAGAGTTAGGGGGGAAAAAAAGCATGCCATTTATTACCATTCCTATGGTAATGATTCAAGGGGGGGGGGAGAGAGGCGGAGGTGATACCTTGGCAATGGGGTATTTTTTTATCTTTTTTATGGCGCAGGAGTCCAAGTGTGTGTCTGTGTATGTTGTTGTTGTTGTTGCTTTAAAAACAACAGGCTAACTTTCAGGTTTCAGGAGACTCTGTAAACCGCTTAGAGAGGGCTGAAAGCCCTATGAAGCGGTATATAAGTCTAACTGCTATTGCTATTGCTATCTATCTATCTATCCTCTATCTATCTATCTATCTATCTATCTATCTATCTATCTATCTATCTATCTATCTATCTATCTATCT